CATCCATCCATCCATCTGTTCATCCGCTCCACCCTTCGCAACATGCTCTCTGTCCGTAATACATCTCTCCGCTAAAACCCACCTTCATGCATCGTTAGGCAATCCATAAGTCATCCCTCCTCACCAAAGCCACGGTCTCTAAAACCCTCCAACCTTATCCTCCATCTATCCATCCATACCTCTTGGTAGCGGGCCAGCCCCCCGTTGACAGCGGCGTCGATGACCCCGTTGAGGCACATGGTAAGGGGGTTGATGTTCTGCATCTGCCGGCTCTGACACTGGGTGATCAATGTGCGTAGTTGTAAGTTCTTGTTCTCGATCACCTCGATGGCGTTCTCCAGTGGGCTTACCTCCACCTGCGAGAGGGGAGGTGAGAGAAATTTCAAGAGTTTCAAGGGGCCGCTTCTTCTTTAGCTCTATAGGGTGCTTTTTAAAGCCCGAAAAGCTAGAAGAAAATAACCCTTATGATTCATAAAAGAAAGTACGCATTACAAAGTAGTAGTGTGTAGTGTTTTTTATAACAAAGAATCATGATATCTCGGATACGCTTTGATTTTGACCATTCTTTTTTTATGTGTCTCTCACAGGTTTTTTTGTAGAAGGTTCAGTAGAAGTTCACTACAAAGTTTCTCGAGTGCCCTTTCATTACTAAATTTTGTGTATCGACTCTAAAGGTTTTCCTACCGGACATTTCCGAGTTAATCTTTCAAAGAAATATTATTTGTGCATTTGTTTACATTTCTCACAAAGGAAATAACACTTCCACCTTGAGATCTAACTGAAAAGTTAAATGGTGGACATCTTATTATGGAACAATTTTTTGTAAACCTACATTCACAAATTTTTGGCCATCTGGGTGAGGCACCGAACTAGTTAGCTAACAATAACTTATTCACTTCCAGCAAATATGGGGCAACATTAACAATTATTTGAAGCCGTGCTCCTGCCACCTGATGAATAAAAGTCAAATTTTCACTCTCCTATCTATAAGCTCAATTTTTGGTCTCCACCAACTTCTGTGGTATCTGGCTCTTTAGCTGCTAAATTCTCTACTGTGTTCACCAGCTAGTAAATGTTCCACAGAGCTGATGGGAAGAATGTGTGTAGCTTGGGTGATAATTATGCAGGTGGTTTTATACCAGCAACACCTTTCACATAAATATAGCAATTTGAGTCATTCGTAATATACATAAAAAAAAGTATATGTTCACTTTTCTGTCTCACACAAAGCTTAATCATCCTGTTAATAGAGCTTTTGCAAGTGCAGTATTTTATATATATTGCACTGCATAACCATCATAGAATAACACTAGGTCTACAATCCATAATTTCACACATGTTCAACAGCTATACGCTAAGAATCACGCTTAGACCAACAGAGACAATGTGTTATGTTTTGCATACGCTGGACAAAACAGTATTTAAAATCCTCCCACTCCTCAGAGATCTGAATGAAAAGATCCAAGACGGAAAGCTTTTGAGGGGATTTACGTGTAACAGTGTAGCAATGGATATCTAATATGATAGTGATTCCAGGCTAAAGACGAAAGAGATTAAGTATTGGTAAATATTTCCCACTACAAAATTGGACATGTTGGTAATCAAAGCAAAGCAATTAGATTTTTAGCATGACATCAAATCCATCTGACGGAGGAAATGAAATGTGTCCAATAGCCCCAAACTCATGACCTAGGTCGTTACTGTTGTTCAATGTAATGACTTGGATCAATACTTTGCTATCGGCTGCCAGTACTTTAAACTGCAACCTGCAAAATAAAAGAGTATTATTACAGTGTTCCTTGTGTGACATGACTGTGTGTTGCACTTATTTCTTCAGAGATCACACTCACCAGCTCTCTCTTGTCCACTTCAAACCAGCGGGAGATGCCTGGAAGACTCTGGACCAGAGTCAGGGTTGTCCTCTCCACCCAAAGGCTCTGCATAAACACATGATTATTAGCTGACAGCTAATCATACTTTTTTTTTTTTAAATCCATAGCTACTTATGCCTGATGCACAGTATCTCTGGCAGACAACACACAATTTAATTACCGACACAGAGCTGGAGCGAATCACGTTGAGTACACCTACTGCCAAACAACTACTTGTAGGTGTAGGTCAGATGTCATATCTTATATCTCGTATCGTTGTTTATGTTCCATCACTTATCCTGTCAGCCAGTGTGCTTGTCAACATGCCAACATCCCACAAGGTCATTCTGACAGCATGTAAACTATGGAAACACTAGCAATCGCTTCAGGTGATTAATACACTATAATGGAGCCCCTACACCTGCTCATTAGCACTAATCACAAGTACATATGTGGATGTATTATTAGAATGTTATAGGTTTTGCAAGTATTGAGTCAAAAACCAAATGATTGGGAAGAATATCTAAAACGTCATTATGTTATTATATTTCTGATCATATAGACATTTCTTTTCTGCTGGACTCATTCAACAGCCAGTTGAGGATCAAGGTGCTGATACAATACATCTTAATTTGTCTTATGCTTAGTTTAGAACCCAGTGTCTTGCTCAAGGACACTCCAGCAGAGCAGATGAGTGCTGACATGCGGTATCGATCCATGTGTCCTCAGGTTGAAGAAGGGTCTTCCGACTCACTACACAACCCTGCTGCCCTTTATTGATTTCCTGCTTTTTAAGGCCAAGAAACCCACCTGAACACTTCTTGAAAAAAAAATACATGTATTACAGTTTAAGAGCAGGAAGTTGAAAGGAAAAATGTACAAAAATAAAAGTCTTGACCTTTTTGCAAACTATTATTTTCCTGCAGATAGAAACTTTTTTGTTACATTTTAGAAACAGCTTTATTTCCTACTTTATTATGCTGCAAACTCTTGTTATCATGCAAAAATCATACATATTATTCCCACTCGCAGGCCAGAGGCATCCAGGCCTGATGGAAATGCGATATCATGATTAAATTTGGCCAAATAGCTTTGATGGAAGGGAGATGGAATGACAGCATGGAGCGTGTGTGTATGTATGTCTTACTATTGAATATTTATGAGCCTAATATCAGGGTCTGTGTGGTGTGTGTATGTATTTAGAGTGTGTGCAGTGTGTATAATTAGTGATACAGGTGTCATCATGAATAAAACATGTCCGACACACACACTAATACCTGCGCGCAGAGAAAAATGAAGCTGTTTCACATAGGTCAGCAGTAAAAAATGCTAATGACCATAAATGTAAAATTTTAAATTCTGAAATATTCAACTCCATTGTTTTTTCCCTATTTATTTCACAGCCTTTGACATTTTTCAGCTACTCCACAAAATTAAGTAGGCTGTAAGTTCATTATTTAAAAGCTTATTTTGATATCTCCATAAAGTCGACACGTTCATCGAGTGAAGAAGGGATGAAATTACATAAATGCAGAGAAATGTCTTCATAACATTGCCCTCTTAGCGTGTGTTGGCTTCATGTGTCACTAGCTGTCTATTTCCGTCATCATCGGTCTTTGTAGTGAATTTCTCTTTTTTCTTTCCCCCCGTACCTTAAACTCATTCTCCTTGTCTTTGGTGCCCTTGTGAAAGGGCCGGTCATATCTGAACCTCCAGATGTGATTGAACTTGTAGAAGCTTTTGATGTTGTCAGGCACTCCGTCTCTCTGCAGCACATCCTGACTCTCTGGGATGGGGGTTACAGCATAGATCTGCAGGTCTGGAAGCACCGGAAGTTAAGGAAAGCACGAGAGAGAGAGAGAGAGAGACAGAGAGTGACAGGGGAAAATCACTGCTGACTAAAACGGACAGGAATTCTTCAGTGACCTCGAAGAACATGGGAAATAGCAGATAGGCTCACACAGAATACGAGGACACACACAGGCACGGGGTTACAGGATGATAAAATGTGTGTTTTCGGGGTAAATACATATCTCCTGTAATATTTTTATTGCATTAGTCAAACCGGTGACCACACACACTCTTTACATCCACATGGAAACCAAAACCAATAAACCACAAATGCATCACAATACTACAAATCAAGAAAACAAAGGGCACCAAAAGCATCAATTTCTCTATTTCTCAACAATCAATAATTGGACGCACACACCGCACGTCATTCTGAAGAAGAACGGAGCAGTGGGGGAGGATAGAGGAGCAGGAAGTGATTCAACTACTGTACATACATTCATATGCACGAGTGTTTGCAACAAGGATGTACAGATGGGCAAGCAATCTGAGCAAGACTTGATTGATTAGCGTTATGTGAGAATAACGTGTGCGAATTTATTCAGAAATCCCTGTCCTGTGCAGTAGGGGAAGCACATACATGCAAACATATCACATGCATACACTGACAACAACTCTGAAAAAGACAAAAAGAACAAGTTAAACATGTCCCTATGTCATCCATTTGGCTTTCTTCTAGTGCCCTTGTGTCATTATTTCACATAGTCTTTGCTTTTCCCTCCCTCTCCCTCTATATAGGCCAACAGTTGTCCCATACATTAGTGTGCATTATTAAAAAGGCTCCCATGGTGTACAGCTTAGTTTGAACACGCTACATGGAGATGAAGAGTTCTTGATGTGAATTGGTGAGTGGATTTATGTAAGGGTGTAAGTATGAGAGCCTCACAGCACTTCAGGCTCGGGAAATTATTGAATAGTCTCCTCCGATCATATATGTGCACAAAAGGTGGTATGAACATTTTTGTTTTTTATTATATGTGTCCATGTTTCAATGTTAAATGTTGTGGATGTGTGTCAAGCTTCCAGAGCATGACATGAGCAGAGCCGCACTGGCAAACTAAATGTGTATTGCTGCAATAAATTGATAAGATGTTGGATCTTTGACTGATGTTTGATTTCAGCAAGTAGTATCTGCTGTTTTCCTGTCAGGGCAGCCAGGATGTAGGCTGGCAGATGAAACCCAGGGTAACTAAAGTCCTTGAGGTACTCATTGCTACTTGTAAGGCTTATTGAAATACCTGAGGCAACCTAGATGGCTGTAGTATCAACTTTTTAAAACATTTTAGAGCTTCTCTTATCTGGATTATAGTGAGAGGACACTGTTTAGAGAGATTTTTGTGAGTAAATCCATTGAAACTTTATAAGTGGGGGAGGAAAAACAAAATGTTCGAAAGTCAGTGCCCAGTGGAAATTTGGCCCTTGTGTTTGTGACTAAGCATACAGTTTATATAATCAAAGTGTGCTTTCTTGTATGAGATTCTTTTATATTCCACGCAATATGCAGTACAGTATGTGGAGTTTTCCTTTGAATGGGCCTTTGACAATAAAGACAATGGAGACAAGAAGGAGATTGTGGTGGAAAGAGGGAGGCATGTTGCTTTGTTACAGGTACGCTGTGTGTGTAAGCCTCTGTGTATGTGTGTACATATGTATGGATACCGTGCTGCTGTCATATTTTTATGCATTTCCACACATGTGGCTGTGTCTGCTCAGCATGTCAACATGGATGCACGTATCCGTGCCTGTGTGAGTGAATTTTGCATGTGCCTCATTCTATAGCCAAGGATACACTGTGCGTCTGCCTGGTATATGGTCTGGTCTGGCTGGTTGACGTGCTGCATGGCGATGGCGTGGGGGAACTCGTTGAGCATCCGCTGCTGGAAAGCCTCCAGCCTCTCGTAGTCATGGCCGCGGCACACAAACTCCTTATTCTGCAGAGGGGGAGAGCAGAGTACAGCATGGGGTTAGCTTGACATCTAGTGGCCGCACGGCGCAACTGCCGACTTGACTGCAAACTCCAAGGACGGGGGCCTGTTACATCATTAAATGGCATTGAATAAGAGTTGCTGAATGTCACCTCACACTGGAGGAGTCTTATATAAGAAAAGTTAATTCTTCCTGCAGGTCTTTTTCTTCTTTGGAGAGGGTCAAAGTATTATTCTGTTCGACTTAAAATTCATAACACAGGGGGAATATGGAGATTTCTTTACCCGTAAGAAGAAAGGGAACTTCTTTCCATAGAAACCCACTCTGAAGAATTCAGGTTCTAGTCTTTGCTGGTCCATGATCTTGTCATAGAGAGAGGCTTCCATCATCTGAAAATGAAAATCAAGTCAGTGTGCTAACAATAAGGTATTTGGTGCATTGACAAAGGCATAGTTATTTCACAAGCAGATTAATTAGCATATTCTTTCCTGAATGACCCCATCATCACATAATTAGAGGAAGATTTCAACTAACAATTTGTCCTCAGGAGTCTCTATGACTTGTTTATTGTGGACAACTCACCCTCATCTTGCTCAAGTTCCTGTAGTCGTAGTAAGACTCATATTGGTCAGCCAGTTCTCTGCACAGGATGATGCCATTCTCCCAACACTGAAGACATAAAAACACACACTTATTTATCCTCATGCTTACTGTTTCAAAACACAGTGAAAGTAGATATAAAAAATAAAATAAAATCCAGGGCACTCATGCACATCAGTTTGATTTAAACTAGTATATATGAACAAAGAACTTATGAAACAGAGTCACTTGCTCTGCAGTGGTGCTGCTAAGATGAATTCCCCCCACTGGGTGTCACTGGTGAGTCGACAATATCAAGAGTCAAATATAACCTCTTCATGCAGGTACACGCAGCACCCAGCCATCTTGCTAATTAAATGAAAAGCTTTCCTTTCCTGCTGCCTTCTAATCCCTGTGCAGCAGCACTGGCAGATGGCATAGCTCGTGAATGTGAAAGGAAATTGGACTATGAGTAACGAGGGGAGCAGTTTTAATGATTCCACAGAGCTATGTTATTTCATCAGGGATGCTGAAGTTTTTTTTGTGTGCGTGTAATTTTTGGAGGGTTTCCATGATGCCACTTTTCCCAGAACGATGGCAAAGGTAGTTAGGATAAAGAGGTGAAATTAGTAGAGAGGAGTGGTGGGAGGAAGAAGGAAAGAAATGTACTTCCTGAGTAACAAAAACAAAGCAAAGCCAGAAAACTACCTCTCAAAAATGCTGCTGCACCCTGAATCAGCTGTTTAAGGTGGCAATCTCACGGTTCATTCTTAGCTGAGGCCTAAAGCTTCAACCGTCAGTGTTGGCGTCATCGTCTCCCACAATATTTCTTTGAGGAACGGTGGAGGATATTGCGGCACGATACGGATCCCGCTTTAATTACAGCTTCCAGCGACTCATCTGATTAAACCGAGGAGGTGCTGAGGCCTCGAGCCGCTGTCACAGTTCAGGTAGAAATTAAATGTCTGACTGCGAGTGACATGTATTTCTGTAGCTCTGCTCCGCACTCCTCTTCTGAAGGGATTTGATTTCATGCGAGTGACGTCACGTCTCAACTAAACAAGTGGGGAACTCCAGTTCTCTCATCTCCCATCCTGCTGCTGCTGCATTTCAGCTGAGTATTCATTCTTAATCAATGATTTTAAAGCTTAATAGGTTCGAATCCATGTATTTATTTATTCTAATCGAAGCATTTATAATATGGCTGTGCTTCTTTTTCAATGCCAGGTATAAATTAGAGTTACATTTTAGAATATGCATGAGAAGCTGGCATGCTGCTGGGTGTTAGCGTAGCAAAAAGGGCTCTCAGTAAGATTGGAACATGCTGCTGCTGCTGCCTCCACAGTGGCATGGCACATTCACTGGCATTCAGCAGTGGTAAGAAGCCACTTAGTCCTGCTGGTGTTAAAGCTCATATGGACAGTGCTTCTCTGAGATGGTATCATTAAAAACTGAGCTTATTTGAACAATTTCTCCCACACAAAATCACATCCAGGAGGCAGTGGCTTTGCATTTTTGTCATGATGTTTCTTTACATAAATTGCTTGTTAATACCAACGTGTTCTTTCTTGTTTCTGTCCAGCTGATAAAAATGTGTGTGTTCAAGCTCACCTTCCCCCTGTCGAAGTTCTGGACGATGGTGAGATGCAGATACTCTTTTCTTTGCCACTCGCTCTGCATGGGGTAGTTGAGGAACTCTCGCAGTGGCCTGTCTGACCATTCCAATAACTCATCATACAGCAGCAGGGTGTACGATGCCTCTGTGACACACAAGTTAGGAGATTGCATACATGTTTAACAACGCAGCTCCCAATACTCCCCACACTCACACATACTGTATGTTACGGGTCCTTCCTCTAGGCGTACCTGTGTAGTTTTGTGCTTTCAGGTGCAGGTCGTACAGTTTGTGAATGTAGCGGATGTACATCTCCTCTTTGTTCAGCTCAGTTTTGTAGAAGTTCTGACAGGAGCAGTGGGTGGTTCAGTGATGAATGAGGACAAAATAATCACGAGAGAGAGACAGAGAGAGAAGGGGATTATGAAAATTATAGAGAGATAGAGATGCAAATGAGGACACATTTTTAAAAGTGACTGATTGTTCTATGGCAGAGGTGTAACAATATATTTCAACAGTGACTTCTGATCCATCTGCCTACACACCCAGGTGCTCTTACAGATGGCTGCAGTTACATAAGGAAAACCTAGTAGGCAGAAGGACTGACAATAGAAACAACGGAGGAAAAAATGAAACAAAAAACTGATTTGTTGGAGATATGTCTACAAGGGAAGAAGATATATAGATATAGATATATTTATATTTTCACACCCTTAAAGAGACTAATTATGTATCTTTCGAAATACACAACTATAAAAATGCAATCAAATAATGAACAATAGCCTAAACTGAAGAAATTAACAACATATTTAAATTTTTGGATAATTCTTTATCAGCAAGAGGATGGAAACTTAATAGAAGTTAATAGAACTTAATAGCAAGTAATAGTTTCTACTGTGGGTCTAGCCATTTTTAAATATTTTAATGCACAAATATTTCATATTATACGTTTAATACCATCATTAAAACGTCTTCATGTTCATCCAAACATTAAAGGAATAGTCTGATATTCTGGGAAATACACTCTCTTATGAAAGTTAGATAATAATGATACCACTCTCATGTCTGTGTCTTAAATACGAAACTACAGCCAGGAGTAGGTCAGCTTAGCTTAGCATAAAAAATGCAAACAGCTTGCTTGGCTGTATTGGAAGGTTGAAAAAAACAACAACCTCTAAAGCTCATTGTAAAAACAATGTAGCAAAAACAGTGAGAACAAAGTTGTGGTTTTTGCAGGGGGTTATGTGCTGCTAATTAATAAGCTGGAGAGCAGATATCTTTACCTTTGGACGGCGCCAGACTAGCTCTTTCCCCTTTCTTATGATAGACTAATTAGTTGCTGGTTGTAGCTTCGCATTTACTGTATAGACATAATTAAAAAAGCTAATATCGTTTTTTCATTTCAGTTGTCCTTAACATTTTGATGAGCATTCATTCATTCCGGATTCATCAGGTCAAAGCACTCTGGATCTGATTTTGTAAAAGTCTTTAAACAGCCAAAAAGAAGAAATCAGTCACTAGTGATACTAAAAGCTTCTGCAGTTTTAAACAGCCCAACCCCCAGACTCTCAGAGTACCTGCTACTCACCAGTAAACTGACAGTACATCCAATCTTTTTTCCATCCACTTCTCCCAGCTTCATACAATCCCTGCGACAGAAACATCACAAGACTAAGTGGCGACGAAAAAAAATAAAGATTTCCAACCATAACGGAAATTGATAAAGCATGTATGCTTGTTTTTGAGAGTGTATGCGTGTGTGCCCTCTCACCTATAGTCTAGCAATCTCTCCATTAAGCGAGTGACTGTAGCGATCAGAGAGATCCCACTCTCTCGCCAGGTCTCTCGCTCAATCTTCTTCAGCAGGCTGGAGGACAAGACGGAGAGTTGTAAAGACCGAAAGAGACAAAGGGTAAAAGATCAAATAGGAAAGTAAATGTGACGGGGGAGAGGGGAAAGAAAGAAGAAATTACTGCAAAAGAAAAGGAGGAGAAGCAAAGAGCAAATCAATTCCAGTCACACCAGTGTCACCTATGCTTGTTGGCCAGCCTGTGAGAGTTAACTAAATAAAGTACCCCAAAAAATCACAATAGCAGGCCTAAATAGATGTTTTAGAATTGATTGGTTATCTGGACTTGCAAGGACAAACACATCACAGCCAAAATATTGCCGTACGCATTTGGCTCAAGTTATTTTCCCAACGTCAACCCTTGCCTCTGTTCCCCCTCACACAGACGACACAGAGAGAACAAAGAGGAGAGCGTCTTACCTAGGGTACGGACCAAACAGAGGAATTCTACTCCAGGCGGGAAGCATAGGCGGAATAAATTAATACGATTAATATCAGCACACACTCACACAGGGTTAGTTTAGGGGTTAGTGGAGTTAGTAGGAGAAAAATAAATTAAGAAACTAAATCAAAACAATAAATTAATTAAGCAAGAAAAGATAGTAGGCTAAAATCATAATCATAAGCAAAAAACTAAGTCTGCCATCAAATATTGCAAGTTTAATAATAATAATGATTCCTAATTGATACTTATATTACAGCACAATATAGATTCATTTTTTATAATACGCAGTGATGTTACACTGTATTCTGTAATGTTTCACATATAAAAATGGTGGGAAAGAGAATGATTGACTATAAAAGACAAAGGGACAATTACAGTAGATGCATATTGATAAAATACTTATCAAGATCACACTCTCATTCACATCTACGTGATAGTAAACGAGACATACAGTATGTATGCGAATCAGAAGAAAGACTTCATTAATTCAGTCAAATTTTTGGAAGCTATGTTGAAATATAGGACTCCTTTGTGAAGTGAGACATAAAAATATGAACAGGCACAGAAAGAAGCAGGGATACGCACACACACTAACACACACATCGGCGTGAGCACATACACTAAGGCATGCACGAGCACAAACCTGGAAAGACAAGGACAAGGACTGGCCACAGAGGAGGCATGAGTGAGGATGAAGGTGACTGAAGCTGAATACCGATCACTTACCTCCCATTATTTTATCTCAAATAACTCAAATAAAGAACTACCCACTGACTTATTCTTTCATACTAATGTTCGGTTTGTTAATTAGCAGCATATTCTTAAACACAATTAATTGTTTTGTTTTGATTCAGGTAAAAGAGCCTTCTCTGAGCATTAACGCTGTTATCTGTGCTCTTTGGTTTTCTGGGTTAAAAGCTCATTTTCATGAGCGGAGTGGACTACCTACAAACGCAGATAAAGCAGCCATTTACTGAGGAAAACAACATTCACCTGATAAAGTCTTGTGTGGGCTGCATCATCTAAGGTCATTAGACTCAATAAACGGTTTCAAAAGAACGTGTCCTGGAATCCTGAACCGGTCTTCTTATTTATGCCTTTTATTGCAATTTCACTGTTAAGCTAGTTGAGCTTCCTTTTCCTTTAAAATCCAAGCTAATAAAACAAATCTAAGTAGTTACAGTACGCCCCTCATCCACATATTTTTTCTTTCCTTCTACCGCCGTTCCTTTCTCTAACTCACATGCTGTTGAAGAGCTCCCTGTATGTCTCATCGCCTTTGCCGTCGGACATCAGGCTGTCCAGCTTGTCGATCAGCTTGGCCTCCACCTGCGAGGGAAATAAAGCATTTAAATCTCAGCGGGGTTGCCACTTCAAACGATATTGATCAAAATGACTGGGAGAAAGAGCAACATCAACAACAGCTTAAAACTGTGTTAGTGAAAACACTCCACGTCATGTCAGAGTCAGTCACGTGTCAAAATAAAGGCATGTTTTCACTTCTATGACTTAATCTTGTATCCATGAAAAAGGTCAAAAAGGATTCTTTCCCCCTTACCCCTACCCCCTTATACTTTTGTCAGGTATATACAGTATTGATTGTGGACCACATCTCAACTGTCATTCACATCACCTACATTACCTTTCATGGCAAGACAATTTTACAATTTTAACCTTTTTTCTATTACTTATATATATTTTTACCTCAGAACATACATTTACAATTACATGTGAAATTGTATCTGCTATTATAATCAAATGACTTTACAGCTAACCAAAGGCTTGGCAGCTAACATTACTGCAGTTGCTAACTAAGTAGCTTGGTGACTTGGCTGCATTGTAACATACCTTAACCTCTAAAATTAGCAATTTTGATCATTTTAGGATGAAAATGGGAATACTCAATACTCAATTTCTGTCAATAGATCTTCCTAAATATTACACACTGGACCTTTGAGGGTTAATCTCAGGATTTGACATGAGTTTCAGTCAAGTTGGTCTATTTCTAACAGCTGTGTACCTGTTTGAAATTGCCACTGCGTCTCTGCTCCCAGTCCATCATGTCATGGAAGATGGGGATCATGACATTCCTCAGATCAGGCTGAGGCACCAGCGTCACCTCCAGGAATGGACCAATCATGGCGGGGATGAAGTTCAGCTTATGCTCCCCTGGAGGTCAAAATAGAGGTTAGGCTCTCACTTCATCCCTGAATACAGCGTATTGTTTATGTCAGAGGCAATTTGGCAAATTCTGGAAAGCTTCTTCTTCTTCAAAAATTTCAACGGCAATAAAGGCTCTGATTATTTGGTTTAAGTGCACTGCACTCTAACCAAATTGATGCAGCTTTTTAATAAACTACATAAAATAAAACAAATTGTAAGTGGGGAGACTTTGCCATTTATATTGACAAATAAAACAAAAACAAAAATAAAGTGCCTTCAAAATATATTTTAAACTGGGCAAAAATACACTTGAATACACATAAAAACACTAGAAATGATCATAAAAACACAAAATTGTATAGGTCCATCACAGACTCAAGAACAAAAGCATACAAACAAAGCACAGTGAGGCATCCAGCTGGTTGCCATGGTAACAAATAGCTACATAGGGAAAAAAATTTAATAGTTTTTTTTAGTTCTCCTTCAGCACAAGTACAAAGTAATACTGAAAATGAATTTGTCTTTACTTTCTCTGACTTTAGTGCATCACACATACTTTAAAAACACCACTTTTGCATCAAAAGAGCATTAAATACAGAGATATTTACGAGGCTGTAAGAGATACTTACAGCTGGAATGGAAGAAAGGCAGTTCCCTGTACGGTACTTTATGTGCAGCCCCACTCGGAGAATAAAAAAAATACTACGAGTCCCTTTAAAACAGTCTATTGTGGGTTTTAGGAGTACATTTAGAAATAAAAGTCCCTGTGAACCATGTGCATTGAGATTTATCATCTTACCTAAATTCTGCCACATGCTGAAGATCTCACAGCCCATCATCACCCTCATGTCTCCATACCTGCATGATGAAATATTTTGGTTAGACATGTATGCATGCTGCAGGCAAACACTGAGCAAGGCTGGCAGCATGTTAAGTACTCATTATACTGAATGTGGCCTACAGTATACTTATAGTGTGTGTGTGTCTGTGTGTGTGTGACAGACAACAGGAGAAGGATATGATGGCTTATTGAGTGAGCACATGGCTCATTACAGGCCATCCCAACACACACGCAGAAAAGCACAACGAGCGTGTGCACGTGAGAGTGCATTTGCAAACAAACTTACTTTTCCAGTATCTTCTTCCTCTTGGAGGGAGAGAAGGATTCCAGCTGAAGACAGGGCTGGTTGATAAATATTACAGACAGGTAGAAGTACGAGTCCCACACCTGGAAATGACAGCAAAAAAATAGCATCATGTCAATGCTGAGCAAAAAAGTTCTTCCTCCAACTCAAGTTTTCCAGATTTCAGGCAAAAAACTAGATGATCTGCCACTGGTATCCATGGATTCTTGATATTATTTTGTGGCACAAACTACCGAAACAACAGCCTTGTAATATTCTAAACACACTAAAAACTCAGACGGGACTCTACAGATTAAACAGGGTACAGGAAGAAACAAAGCCTTTTTACAATTTAATTAACTCATCTCTTGTGTTGTTTTTATTGCTGTTCAGGTTTTGTTTTTTACCTTCAGCTAATTTTATTGTCTGCCTTCCAGGCTGACTAATGGTATTAACTCTGATTAATGTATGTGTCTCTGTGCAGGCTTTGGTTTTGAAAAGTGTGATGTACAAAAATAAATAAATTAATGACTTTTATGTGTATCTGCCAGCATGTCTGTGTGTCTGTGTGTGTGTGTCGGTACACTAATGCTGCCCCATTTTAGAAGTGAGGCGGTTTGATACTCAGACAGCTTTGTAGCACTGTAGCATTGTCCAGGTCCACACACACATTCCCCTTACCTTGTAGTCAAACTTGTCATTGAGGAAGTTTTTCCTCAAAGCGTCAGAAAGATAGAGGACAGTTGTGATGATGACGCTAAAAGAGCAGAAGAAAGAGAGGGTTATTGTGTTACCTTGGAGGAAAATGCATCACCATCAACAATTGACATGCTATTCAGATGGCCCATTTGTAGAGCAATAGCACAGAGGGGATGTGATAAGACACAATACGGAAAGAAACACATAAAAAATAAAAACCCAAGGGAAAAAACAGCCAAGGAGCCAAATCAGTGTTATCATCCACAGACACTGGTGCTTTTCCATTAGAAATACTTCATTTCTAAGTACAAGCTCTTTATTGACCTTTTATGTTTTAACTGAGAGCGCTGCATCAAAATTCCCCTATTCATATTCTTATATTCACATATCTTGTCATCTGTGTCGTGTGTGTGGTCTTACTTGTTGGTGACCAATCGCATCACGGTCCAGTCTTTAGGAAACATTTCTGGTCGGATTAGGATCCTGAAGACTGTGAAGATCTGAAGAAGAAAGTCCTGGAACAAATAACACACACACACACACAGGAGACTTGTTATCGCTGGAAACTCAAATCAATTGGGACAGGCTTGGTCCTAATCTTTGCAAATAGTCTTTCTCTGTGTCTCTCTCAATGTTGCTGAAAGATTTAAAATGTATTTATTATATTAAATTAGTATGTAAGACTTATTGATCACTCTGACTGGTGTTTTGTTGCATAGCTTTAATTTACATATCTGCAATCGCAGTTGAATAGCATTTTGGGATTTGTTATGGACACTACTTTTGTAAATCCATTGGAAGACATTTTACACAGTTGTTTTTGCATGGATGTATTTCGTACTTATATACTTAAATTTAAAGATTAGTAGGTCTGTAAAGTGTGAATCTAATGCAGTCATTTCATGTCTCTCTCCATGGTGCTGAAACTCTAAGCTCACTGGTTGCATGGATCTGTTCCACACACTTAATGTGGATACTTGTGATAAAAGTACCAGAATTAAAGTCTGAAAATTGGCTTTTTTCGAGTAAGTGCTCTCAAGCTAACAAGAGCCTGTTACATTTCTATTTTTTCTGACATTTAGCGAATTGATATTTCTCACTGGAATGAACTTGTGACCTCATTAATTTTCTCTGTCTCGCTTCTTCTGCTTTCTCGTCTCTGTGTTTTTTTTCTGCCTTATGTAACCTGCCACCGCTGACCTTGCAGTACAGCATACAGAGGACAGTATAAAAACATATACTTATGTGTACATACACTTCAGAAATGTCTGCTAGTGGAGTGAGCAAGTCACTTTGAAAATCTGAAAACAATTTAGAAAATGGTTGAGGAAGATAGCGAGGCAGAGGGTGGATAATGTTGTCCAGACAAACAGATTAGAATATGAAATCCCCAAAAACAACATAAACATAACAATTCATGTCTTACTCTCTACCCAATATGTATACGCAAATACATACTAGTAATGACTGAATCTAAAGCAATGTGGCAAGAAAAATATAAACGTATGAAGAAAGGATAGATGTGGTCTCAATGTGAGCTCAGGTTTGAACTTTCTTTATAACTGTCCGGCATTTTTATGACCATAATTCAGTACCACTCTATCTTATACACTAGATAAACTAACAAATATCACCAGTCTTTCTAGCAGTTTGGCTAGTTTCGCTTGCAACTTGGCATTATGGAAGTGCAGATGGAAGACAAATATCCATCTATTTATTTAATTATTTGTTCACTTTCAGATCACATATGGACACAATCAGCAGTATAGAGAGTAAGAGAAGCCCTGACAGACAGGTGTAGAGTGATCATATATTCCACAGAAGAGAAACTGTCAGTTCTCCTTGGTGAAGGGACAACAGCTCCTCTTGCAGCTAAATATGCATTTGCCACAGCCTGACCAACCACTCATAATATGATAGAGTAGTTGTATTTTATTATATATATTGTAAATGAATGTATTGTATTGGAAAAAACGCATTAATGTATCTATATATATTGTATTTAATATGTAATATGGAAATACGTGACTATTATTAATTGATTTGGCAACATGTTTTTGTTTGTGCCAATCAAGCTCTTTGAATTGAATGGAGAGAGAGCGAGAGAGAAAGAGAGAGAGAGAGAAAGATGGATGAGGTGGTCTTACCCTCAGGTTGTCTTTGCTGCTGAACGCCTGCAACAGCTGCTGGTAGTGTCTGTCGCTCATCTGTCGCAGAAGGGCCAGCAAACATGCCACAAACTCTCCCTGACAGGATAAAACACAGTGTTTGGTTTTAATGTTGTGTTACAGCCAGGATTATCTTCAGGGGTGCCCTAAATTACTAGATTAATTGTACTATTGTGGTTTAAAACATTTATAAAGAAAGCAGTCACGTAGGACGCATAGCAACACTGGATGTGAATCATTAAAAACAAGAAGAGTTAAGAGTTTACTGGACTATGGGGCTTTTGCAAAGGAAATAGGAAAGGAAGCACTTTATTATACCGAACTTACAGTATGACCTTTATTAACCTCTATTGGCAACATTAGCAGAGCTCTATTACAAATGGAATAACCCTCCACCCATCCTTGAGTCTCCATCATCACACAATGATGATGATGATGATGATGATGATGATGATGATGATGATGATCTCATTATTATCCACTTCACCGTTCCCCTTTTGTGCAGTGTTGTATCATAAATCTTAATTATTGCCATTAATGTTAATAATGTTAGTGGAATCATGGTCTCCACAGCAGCAACTCAATTTAAAGTCTATAATTACTCTTGCACATTTTTGTTAAGTCCCAAAACAATTTATCACACACTAAAACACACATACAGTGACATCCTGGAACTGTAGTCTCATGGCAGGTCCAGCAGGCTGGGGCCGGTTGCTAATTTCCAGGATGGTCCTCAGTAAAACTCCCAGCAGGCTTTCTACAATTAGTTCCACCTCTTTTGAGACCACCGGCTCCTACACAAAGGACAAAACACTTGCACATGAATTACAGGTAACAGCAACACTTTCACTTTATTAACAAAAATGAGAAAAGAAAGACATAACATGAATCTAAAATGTCAGTGTGATTCCTTTTAAGTTTTCTCAACCAATATGCATTCTACTGGCTTTTTTCCTGCTGGCACAACCTTGAACCATGATCGACAGCTGACGTCACTCTGCCTCAGAGTCTGCATTACTTACCCAATAATCTTACTTTTATCTCAGTTTTAATGACTCTTGAACCAGTAAGTGTGAGGACTAATAAGAAGTTTCAAGGCTAAGAGCAACATTTTGAAACTCTAAATTCACAGAGGACAAGGCGAATGGAAGAGAATAAAAGAAGGTGGAATACAAAGGAGAAAGAGACAGTTAAAGATTAAAAGCAACTCGAAGAAAGTGGAGGATAAACTGGAGTGTGTGTGTGTGTGTGTTTGTGCGTTTGTGTGTTTGTGTGTGTGCATCTCCCTCTAGTCTCAAGCCCTGACAAGACAGACAGGTCTTGGACAGAGCGATAATGAGAAGGAGCTTCAGACTGGCACATTGGCTGCCACTGCTGTCACTTCCCTTTAGATGTGTTGCCAGTCTGTGTGCGTGTGTGTGTGTGTATATTGTCTGTGTGTGCGTCTGTGTGTGTCCTACTGGGCGCCTTTACTACTAGCTGGCCCTCTGGCAGCGAACAGTTCAAGCCGGGCAAACCGAGCTGCTTCACAAACAACACACACACACACACACGCACAAATCAGACAATATACACACACAGCTCGAAGTGACTGCCACTTCGACAATGGCCGTGGCTAAATTGATGGGTCTCATTACTGGACTGCACGGCTGCCAATGCCCTTGTTACCAAGACTAATTGACCATATACACACACAACAAAGCAATCTGCTATTGCAATGCATTGGCAAGGAAATTGCTGTAAGACTAATTCCTCTAGCTTTGACTTCCTTCAAAGTTATTTTCCAGTTATTATGGAGGTAATTCCCTTGAACGGTCTTGTAGAATAGCAAAGGGAAACCCTTTTAACTCTAAACTGACTGAAGTCACCGATCTTTTGACTTGGCAACCTGAAACATCAACAACTGCCAGTGCAGTGAGCATGCATTTAGGAGGCTCTATTGGCCTAAACTTGTTTTTACAAGTTGTTTTGGGGCTGATTAAACTAATTAGAAAGTTAATTAGCGAGCTTTAGGAGGTGCTGGTAGGAAGATTTGGGATTTTGTTGCCAGGGCCAAGGCTAGCTGTTTCCCCCTGTTTCCATACAGACATGAGTGTGGGTATCAATCTTCTCATCTAACTCTCAGAAAGAAAGCAATTAAGTGCATTTCCCAAAATGTCAAACTGTTTCTTAGAAGAACAGTTGCATAACGGCAACCAGTTACCACTGTAATACTCACCGCTGTGCCGTTTTCCTCCTTCTTGATGAGGGACAGCATGCTGGTGAGGATGCGAGCACACATGACCAGGTCTCTCTGCTCCTGCATGTGTGCCTGGAGGACCCGGAGCACCACCGGCAACAGGATACAACGTGACTCTGCAAAACAAACACAAACACACACACACACACACACACACACACAGTTGTCATACATCAAATACATAATGTTATATAACTAAACAACAAAGGGCAGCAGCGAAAACACACTAATCTTCGTTGGCTGTATTAGCTCTTGTTTTGCACACAATGTTTCCTAACTATAAATCACTGTATCTAAAAGGGATTCTTTGTGTAACATTAATTTGATTTGCATGAGGGATGTTTTTCTTGATACATGTAGCCGTTGGGAGCATGCTCGAAATAAAACACTGAGTAATTTGCTCGGTGTGCAGCCTTTATTAAGAACAATTTAATGACATGGAGTTAGGTGCACTGTAGGTGTTCTTAAATGACTGCAGTGCAGGAGTGTACAACAGTATAATAAGGATTAATAGCCTGTTTGCTCATGATGCAAGACAAACAGACAGTACAAGTGATTATTTTCTGCATTTTGTGGATGAATCTAGTTGTTTGTTTCCCGCTGTTCTGTTGATTTTTCCTGTGTGTTCCTAATCTGCATGCAAGGCCTTTTTTGTATTTGGGTTATTTGCTCACAAATGTTTGGGTTTTCAGTCTGGTTACAAGCTTTATTTATGTATTCATATCAAAGTGTACATAACTGTGCATCTGTTTGTGTGAACGAGTCTTTACCTGGGTTAATGTAAAGCTGGCTTTCCACCGTCTTGGCAATGCACTGCAGTTTGACAGCCTCCAGGGGGCAGTCAGCGTGGACGGTGGTTGGCAGGCAGCCCAGCGTCTCCCTGACAAAGTCGGCCACCTCCCGTACTGTGAAGATCTTCAACAGCTCGCCATAAACTGCCGGGAATGTCCGCAGGAACACCGCCTAGGCAGAACGGGGCGATGTTCAATCATTTGGAGGCTAAATCGAACAGACACTTTCGAATCCATTATTGTCGAAATATTTTAAGACTGGAATCACTTTGTTGAAAGGTAACAGCCCAAAAGCATTTAAGCTGCAAATTACACTGAACGGAGCTTTTCAAGATGTGACTATGCATGATTTATATAGTGTTTGTTCAGTAATTTCAATAAATTTTTCACTAAATCAGCATTACATACTGCATATTAATCTTAAAGGGGTGATGTCGAGGTCCTGTGAAGCTCAATGGGCTCAATGGGTTTGTAACTCTCTGTCTGATGCTCCTTATTCTTGTCATGTTCTGTCACATTCACAACTGAAAAATGAAGATTACTAAGATCTAGAAAGGTGTGTCAGCTTGTCCCTCTTTGTTTCTTTTTGCCCTCATTTTTTCAGGATAATCTGGCATTGAAGCCATTTTTCAGCAACACTTTCACACTTTTACTGTCACATGTGTTTCCTTTTGACAAAACAGCAGTTTAGATGGAACAACAAGGAGTTCTAGTAGTACTAAAGTCTAAGGAGTCTAGACTCAGAGAGGAGTCACAATAGAGCAATACACACAACTCCTATTCTTTGATTTGATTTTTGAATTAGCATAAATACATTGAGTGTGTTTTAATTACATAATTTCTTTTGTAATCCGTTTACAGCTCAACACAGATGTTACCTCATCTTGTGATGAAAACAAAAAAAAAGTCACAGGTGCTAAATAATGCACACAGGGCTTTGCTGTTTATGTGTGTTATGTGTTTTGGCCAGATTAAGTTAGATTAGCATGATTCTGGCATGCATCTCCCCCCAGCTGTTGTTGTGCTGAGATTAAAGATTAATCTGGATCAGGAGTCAGTGCAGGGATGAAGTGGAGCTTTTCAGACACCGTGGAGAGGGCACAACTGGAATACACCAAGGTGAAATTATTACAAAGCGACTAAAAGAGACTGGAAGCCTGTTATCAAAGCCTGCTGGCTTTGATAACTCAACTCTCTTGAGTGCCTTGTTATAATTGTTTAACTGAGCTGTGAAAAGAAAATGGAGTAATGGAGTAATTGAAAAGATTATTTTTCTCGAAATGCTTGAACAACACGTGTTCAGGGTTCTCATGGATGAGGCAAGCAAGACAACAAAGGAAGGAAATAATTAACACAGAGGGGAATGAGCACACAGTTATACAGGTTTTGCGTGACCTAAGTGTTGCGAGTTACCTGGAATTGAATTCATTAAAAGAGTACATGAGTCTAATGGACTAAAGAGAAGTGACAAAAAGATGCAAATGAGACTACAAAAAAAGAGATGGAAGCAGCAAGAGGAAGAGGAACAACATAAGACTCCTGGATCTGTACTAAAAGGTCCTGTAGAGGCAAAAAAGCAGGTGGTTCCCTACAAGTGTGCATAAGGACACACACAGCCACACAAGCAGCTGTCTCTGTTTTTTTTGCTGTATAATTAGGATTATCTTTGGCGTCTTTAGCTTATTTGTTTTGGTCTTGTTTCGAAGAGTGAAGGCGGCTACCCTGCTGTGCAGACCTCCCAGCGGGAAAGGAAAAGCTGCCAGAGACATTCCTATTCCGACTCCAGACCCCTTTGGCAGCATGAAATTCAATTACAGGCAATTTCTCACCTATCACGACTGCATTAACAAGAGTCCTCGAGAAAGAAAACATAATGTGGCGCACAAGTACCAACAGGCACAAATTTACACATTTGCGTAAGTGCACACAGAGATGCACATTGTGATTGTGGAGGCACAGAGGGTTCGAGACACACACACACACAAACACGTTTGTGCGACGGGACTGGTGCCTTTGTTTTCCTGCGAAAGGAAGAAGCGAATGGACATGAAGAGTTCATGGATGCAGACTCGGAACTCCTCCTCGTTCTGGCCTCCCGTGGCCAATGAGAAGAGCCGGCGAGACTGGATAATGTACTTGAAGATGTACTCGCTGGCCTGGAGGATGGAAAGAACAATCATCATATATCATCTGTTTTAGTGAATTAAAAAACAAAAAGCCCTGCAAGTCGGACTTCCCTTCCAGTGAAAAAGGAAAGGAAGTCTGATATGATATTAAATTTTGCCCCTGACGCATTTCATCCAAAGTTTGAGTTTTATAACTCTATTTATCTGAAACACTTGATGAGATGACAGAAAATCATTGCTTTAAGTAATTTCTTAAACCAGAACTCTAGCTTCTCAAATGTGAGGATTAACAGATTTTCTCTGTTTTATATCTCTGAAAATATATATTTCAGTTTTGGACAAGTGTCAAGTGCTCATAAGGAGTCTGAAGATGTCACACTTAGGCATTTAGAGCTTGTGATGGTGTTTTTTCATGCTTTCTTTTTTACATTTTATAGATAATACAATTAGCTAATGGTAGACAATTAGTTGCAGTCGTAGTGTAGACAGTTGTTGTAATGAAATAGGTAAAATAACCACTTTTTAACCTGACAACAAACACTTTTAAAGTATTGTATAGTCCACAATACTTAAAAAGTGATCTGCTTTTTTTCTTTATTAGTAAAGTAGTACAATATTGTTTAGCTTCACATTTTTGATACAGAATTCAACCAAAAGGAGGTGCTTTAAAAAACCTAATGAAAGACATTCTATAGATCACTCATACAAGGAAACCCTGGAGACACATCTGTGGTCTACCACTTATTTATTACTTACTGCATGACAGAGGAACATTTACTTCTCCTGCATAACGTATTCCGCGAATGATAAATGGGGAAACCACACTACAGAAGCCGCAAATGTGCTTCTCTGACGGTGTATCTGCGTGAGTCATTAGAATAATGTGATGTGGATTCCCAACCCCAGAGGCAGTACATTTCTGCTGATTAAAATTGTATGCAGTGTAATAGATTGAGGAGGGGAATAATGAACGGTGGTGCGATGTGTTCACTGCTGATGGCGGGATAAATTAGCAGGAGTGGCAGCAAGACGGAGGGAAATTTGTTTGTTTGTATTTGTGGATGCATCTGTGTTGTTGTTGTGTGTGAGTGTGTGTGTATGCGCACGTAACTAAGTGTGTGTTTGTGTGTGTCAGAGCAAGTGCCTCACCTTGAGCACCTGCTGTATGTGATCCTGATGTTCTGCATCAATAATGCGGTCCACGTACCACTTCAGTACTTTGATCAGGTCCCTGGAGAACACACACACACACACACACACACACACAGTATCACCACTCACCTCTAGTTACATCGGCTTCTCTCACAGGATTTAGCAACAATAGAAGTGGCAATGCAGTGTTTTAACATGAAACGCTTAAATACAGGTGGTTTAAATGTTACAGTTTAGAGTAATGACACTAGGATGACCAACAAATTCAATTCCGTTTCACCAGCAGTAAGCTGCTGACAAAGAAGGCAGAATGAGAGGATTTTGGTTCCATATTAGTAACTAAAGATAGTTTTAAAAAGGAAAAATAATGATATGCATAGATAGTTTGTTAATTAATTAAGGTGTGACACATTGTAATGAAACAATATCGCAGGTAAGAAGAGTTTAAAGCAGATGGATGTGGCAGCAGTATTCTCTGTGCGTGCGTGTGTGTGTGTGAGTGGGTGCATGCAAAAAGACATGGGGTAAAAAAGGAGAAGAAGAAGCTCTTAGCAGGTACAGAGAGTGTGAAGAAGACAGCCGGTGAGAACAGCAGGTTGTGAATATGTGTGTGAATGTGTGTGCATGTGATAGATCGGAGAATGAAACGAGGAGGCGGGAAGCAAAAAGCAAGCACAATTTCATATTTCACTTTTTCAACAGCCAGGGGGCACCATAAGCATTTCTTTAACGCGCCTGGTGACTAAATCACAGCACAGATCTGAGTGGAGCTGCCTCTCAGCACTGACGCAGGCTCTCCAACAGCCTATCATTAGAATACAATATACGTGTATGCTCAAGGCGCTGCTGTAGCCTCGAACGGCCACATCTAGAGGAGTGAAGGTGGAAACATCACATACCTGTAGGACAAAGCTCCAGCAAAGTGGCTCTCGATGTAGGTGTCCATGACTGGTTTGAAGTGCTGGAATTTGCTGTCCTGGAGGAGGTTGATGATATGGACCTGGAAATAAGCAGTGAAGACATATTATTAAAAGGTATTCCTTAACATAGAAGATTATTTTTTATCTCTTTTTAGGAGCTTTATGATCTTATTTCACGCGGTATGGCACCCTTTATATATATTCTGTATCAGTTTGTTCCATGGAAGCTGCATGATGTTTAGACAGAGTGAAATGTTTTTTATGGCTTCACCATTCTATCAAATAGAAATATTCTAGATGTCTAATGCATAACTTTACACACATTCCCCTAAGATCCAGCCTGACAAATCTGTTATATGTAGTAAAAATTAATACAAAACTAAAGTTAAAATACATTTTTGTGGGTTTGAACAATGCTTAGCTACACAGCTTGAGTTCACCTGCAGCAACCTAAGCCTCACAGTTAATTTTGGAAGGTTTTGTCCATTGCTCAACATCTAAGCTAAGAAAAAAACATCACTTGAAGTTATTAAAAGAAAAAGATAAAAAAAGTGTCACATACAAAAGATATGAGGAAAACAACAATAAACAGAATGAAATTTAATAAAATAAAACATAAAAAACAACCGAGCTAAACTAATTTTGACAGTGGCTGCACTTATTACTCCATGTTTCCCTTGTTGCAGGTCATTGTGAAATGCACTGATCTGTCTGACCACAGAAGTCCACTTGTCAGACTGGTTGGATTGATCTCAAAACCACAAAAAGGAAACTTGATGACTGCACCGGCTCGCTAGACCTTTCCATCACTGATAACGCCACACTGAGAGGAGTGTGTTCATGTCTCAGTGTGAGACTGATGTAGAGAGAGAGACACACACAGAGAGAAAGAGAGAGAGATCGATCACTCGCTCTATCAGCGCAGTGCAGCGTAACCAGGCTGAGATTGGTTCAGCGAGCTCTGTAGCGTTACATCACTAGATCTTTCTCCAGCAGTCAGCTTGTGTTTCTGTTTTCTGACTCATACGCTATGAGATTGTGGTCGACATATGAAGGGAAAGAAGGAACACAAAATATAAAAAGATCCATGTATATTACCATAGCGTTAAAAAAGCTTACTTACCAGTGAATCAAACACCTTGAGCCCATATCTCTGAGAGCTTTCATCCAGAATACCAAACAGAGTGTCCAGGGTGTCCTGTAGAAACTGTGGGAGGGAGCGAAACAAAATGGAGCTGAAATTCACTTCAGTTTTTGACTTAAACTTAAATAGCACGTGGACTGAAATGAAATCAGAAAGCAATCAATCATAAGAATGCCAGGATAGTGGTAGCAATTCAGCGGTGAGGGTCTCACTGTGGAACCTACTTTAACAATCTCAGAGCCATCGATCTCCTTCAGCTTAGAGAGGCTGTCGTTGATCCTTTCGGGGTGGGCTCGCCACTTCAACAGGTCCAGCATATCACCTGGAGAAAGGACAAAAAGATGGAGATATAGAGAGATATAATAGCAAATGAAGGAGACAAAAAAAATGACAGTGACAACCACAAGAGATCAAGACACGTCTCGTGTTTGTTTGTAAAGAAACACAGGATTATGAGAGCAGCGTGCACCTCAGATCACAAAGCATCACCACACCCTGCAATTATAGCGCCAAAAAACTCCTCTGAATCCAAACAAATGATGACATTTTCAAGTGCAGCGGGATAAAGAAGATAAAAAGTAATTTTCCCGAGCCAAGGTCCCCAGACATATGCATGAATAAAACATAAGCGTCGAGAAGAAAGTCTTTTAGCTGTCTCTTTGGATTCTGTTCAACCTGAAGCGTCTTTTTGCAACTTTATGTGTGAATTTGTTTGTGTGCGTGCATGTCTGCATTTGTTTTGGTTTTTTTTACCAATCTGTCACGTATATTTTTGTCATCAGAAACTGCAATATTTCTATAATCAATTTACCGACAACGTCAAATGTATTCAGGAAATGAACAGCCTACTGCAAGTAAATTGCGCCTGTAGCTTTTGTGTTTATATATTCTTCCATCTACTTAATGAGGTGAAAAAAAGATTCATCATTCACTGTTTTTCTGCAGTCTGAAAATACTGTTGTCTGGTAAAACGTGACAGTGTCTGGAATGCATCAGTGACTCAGTGGAGAAAAGCAAATGTCTACCTTGCTGCATACTTTATATTTTAATCTATGGTTATCGTTGCTGCTGTTTGTTTAAATGAGGGCAAAGCGACAAGCTAGTCCTCCTGAAATAAGACTACAAATCGCACTTTGCAAGCAGATTTCTGAAGGCATAAGGATTTATTAGCTCATTAGTGAGCAATGCAAACTGGAAGCTATTCCCACCCCCCCTGCATATTCACAGGTTTGTTTCACACACTTGGATGGTTTGGATGGAAATGTCACTTTCTCACTTGAGCACACTTCGCTCCCTTTGTCTTTTCTTAAACATATGGAATTTTGACATTTTGTCAGGCTTTCTGTGACGTGTTAATGACTATATTTGGCAGTAATAGTTCCAAACTCTACTCAGTGAACTTCACAGAAGCACAGTGGCAGCTAGTGTATGAAGGTGCAAGGTAATTCCAGTTAGAGATGTGACAAGAGTTAGAGTATAGCAGCCCAAAACAACACCTCACTGGGCGAGTGGCCAAAATGCCAATCCCTGAGTTTAGTTTACCATTCTGTGTAAGCTTGGTGGAGCAGAGAAAGCTGGTGATCCAGAAAGACTCTTTGGTGCCTTTCAGAGTCTGGTTGTTGGACGGGAGGTTGGCCTTGGAGAATGGCAGCTTCAGGTAACGAGAACAGTCGGCCAAGCTGGTATTCTCCTCGCACTGGGGGAAAAAAAAACAGGAAGATAAGCACACATTTTGTAAACTGGCACAGGTTTGTAGGAGAGGAGTAGAAGAACGTGATAGTTCTGGTGCATTCACCGTTTTAATGCCAACCTGTCACCCCATTGGCTGTGGGCTGTATATCAGTCATGATTGACACATGTGAAATGATTGTGCATAATCAATCGCAGAACTCTGTTGTTATTTCAAGGATTTCATGTGAAGCCTTAATGCACAGCTGAGGTCGTTTGAGCTCCAAAGCTACCACACTCTTTGGACTGATTCTACTGTGTCTATTTTGGGTCTGAGGAGAAACTAGGCCATGCCAGTTTCATTGAGTTTTTCAGCAACTTCCATCTGGCATCTGAGTGGGCCTTTTCCCCTCTCAACGATGGGAACACACACACACACTACCAGAGTTGTCCTTTAAAAGTGGCAGGCTCAAGTTAGGGGGTTTGGGAGGACTAAATCTGACCTCCTAACAGGAAAAGAAGACAATGAAAAGAGGTTTTTGTGTTTTAAAGACTACATAGCTAACAGCAAAGTAAATAATCAGACTTCTGGTCGCTGTTCTGCCTCACTTCCAATAAAATGTATGAATGCGCTCCATGGTTTTCCGTCCTCAGCAAAGCCTGAGGTTTATGCACACACCCTTCGCCTGCAGCTGAGGAAAAGCATGTAGTCTGCAATTACTCTGAATTACACCCAAGACGGTCTTGCAGTAGCTTTTAACTGGGGACGCTGGCCATTTTATTTGCTTCAGTCTTTTGATGTTTCAAAGCCAAAACGTGTGAAAAGGTGAGCCTTCAGACATAAAGGTCATGCTTAATACAGAGATACAGACAGAGTAGACTGATGTTTATGTAACTAGTTCAGTGCCAACTGTCAAAGACAAACGTACATACATTAACACTCGCTCGCAGTTAAATTCAACCCAGCTTGACAATGTTACGTAATTGGACATTACTCATTGGCCCGTCAGCCTGTAATGGAGTGATGTGAGCTGTTTGTCATCCCGTGGTACCAAACGGTGTGATAACAGGAGGGCCGCATTTTGCCATACAGAGCAAATGAGTCACATAATGATATACAGTATGTAATCCCATCCGGCGTAGCCTTGGTAACACCTGTGAGTGGGTTCACTTAAGAGAACCTCTAAGCTGCAATTTACCAATAAACATGACCATGGAACTTTTGTCTTTGTCTAATGAAATCTTTTGCGTTGAAATTGCTCTGTTAATACCACGTCAAATGTGTAGTGCCAGGCCAGGATGGCACATTGATAGGCCAAGTAGGTTGCATTTTCATACAAAGCCGATCACTCCACTGTTGTTGAAAGTTAAAAAGCATTGAAAACAGTGAAATTATCACATTGTATTGCTTAAAAATAAGACTTAATCTAGGCTAAAATCACACATCAAGATGAATATTAAACACTGTGTATGTGCCAGAAAAAAATCTGCAAAGCACACACTCGATTTGATTATACGTTGTTCAGTCAAAATCTTGGTGGAGATGGTATGCAGTTATTACCTTATGGATAATGAGCTCATGGGTGCCATCTGGCAGAGTCCTGCCATCCTCCTGCATCAGAGGAACAAAGGAGTAGCCAAACAGTTTCTTCTCTCCCTTGTCTTTAGCTGTCAAACAACAACACATGGACATGATATTGAGTCCAAAATACAACAGCACAGGCTGCAAGAAAAATAAACAAATGCTCATATTAGGAAACTGGTTACGTAATACGTGCCTAATGCCTTCAGTGTATTTATTCTACTTAAAATGTAAACCTAACATGAAGTTGAAAAGCATTGTTGAGACTACACATTACTGTTGGTGGTTTTACATTGCAATGAAAGTGCGCAGAGAAGAAGACATGAATGCAAACAATTCATGTTTTTAAAAAGTTAAAGATCCCCTCCAGACATGTATTAAGACATATATACAAATAGTCTGCTTGGAATAATAATGTGTGACTGATATGATTTTCCCACAAAAAAGTATTCTCATTATATCACAATAAAATCCTTAAAAAGACATCTACTCCTTCTACCCAATGACAAATTCCAGACTCTATGAAAATACAAATTTTGTTCATTTCTAAGGATTTCCTGCTGGAAACAAGATGTGTCCTACTTCACTGTAAAGTCCATTCTCAGTGTATGTGCACTGGAGGCTTCAGGTTTCTAAATCACACTGTACAAGTTTAATACTGGACCAGGGTTGACTTCTAAACTATTTGTGATCAAATCATGCTTGTAGGCCCCGCCCCTTAAAATCAGATTTTTAATAAGCACAGAGAAACTTTCCACTTTCAGCAGATAAAAGTGAAAACATCCTTCTAGTGTCGAACTCTGCACATACATCTTTCTGCACAGTGAAGATCAAACACCCAACTGTAGGAACAAGATAAAACTTAACTTTGCAAATGTTTTATAAGGGAGGAAATGCATTCAACATGTCAGTAAGGCCTCGATTATGCACTATATGAGAAAAACTGAATGTAGACATAGAACACTACATGGTACCTTTGACCACACCCCGCATCACTGTTAGGAGTAGTCAGAATCTCTTGCACTTGTAACCACACACAACTAAGATTTCAGGGTGTACTGAACTCACCCCAAGTACACTCAGCACTGGCACAAAGCAAAAACAAGATATTTAGATGCTGTTAAATTATTCTTCGAGGGCCTTACTAAAATGGGTTGCTGTGTTTTTAAGCAGCTTTCTGAAAGCTCTGGGCATAATTTGCATTATGAACACATGTAATCTGATTTATCTGCTGCTTTAGCAATAAAGTGCTAACGTGCGCACAGCGGGAAGTGAGAAGTGTTTTCTATTCCCTTTCATTGCAACACTAGTGATTCATTTAGGCAGTGTCTACCAGTCCTCTGTGTGTGTGTGTGTTTGTGTGAGTGTGTGTGAGACTCAAGAGAAGCACAAGTTGCACTGTATTAAACTTTTAAAATTGGTACTGCACCATAACCATTTTATTTCTGTCTTGCTTTGCTGTGATTAAGTTTTTACACCAGGAAAGTTATTGCTTACAGGCTGTAAACTTTTGCTTTTTGTTGTGTGTGGTTCTTTTTGAACAGGTTTTCCTAATCTATAAGCCCTCATAGCCTAGGGTGTTAGGAGATTAAGAAAGATTAAGTGGTACTGTGTGAAACTCAGGCTTAGCTGAGCTCTGCAGACCAGGTGGAGATTGATGTTTGTTATATCTTGAAACCACTCTACCAAATACACTGTTCTATTATATAGCAGAATTTAATAGACCGTTAGGAATTCAGGGTTTTAAATTGGAAACAAGGAAAGACTTTGTATCTTTATGGTGTCTAGAAAGAGAAAAAAGTCAGGAGTAGCATGCTCCTACAGCAGCAATAGTGTTACTAATAGTAAGGTAGTCGTACTGCAAATTGCTTCAATTGCTTGAAATATTCAATAAACAATCAGCAATAATAAAACAAAGTACTGCACTGCTCACACTGACAGGTCCTTACAGTCCCCTTTAGCACCATTTAGGAACAACACTGGACTCCCCACAAACAAATGAACAATTACCGCTGCTGCATAATGAGTGCAAAAGCAAGATAGCATTTAAAAGCATATTCATGAAAAAAACGAGCTTTCTCTTTTGCATTAATTGAAAATGAGAGTGTCTGCTAATCATATTTCTTCAGGCAGGTTCTCCCCAAGTTTGGGAGCCCTAATAGTACATGTAATATGGTCTCCTCAGTTTTGTGTCACCACAGGCTTAAATTGGGCTCTTAATAGGCAGCCCTTGGGTAGCAATGCTAGCACTGCCAGCAGTAATAAGGCTACTATATCTACTGCACACAGACACACAGCCTCCCAGCTTGGCTGCAAAAGGCATAATAATATCAGCTTGTTATGAGAGAGGAGACTCGGCCTTCTCCCCGCAGCCCAGAAAGAGGGTGAGCAATATTTTGGTCATAATTAAAGTTTTGTCTCATTAGGAGGTGAGAAGTTGGACAAACTAGTCTCATTATAAAAATGCTTAAATAAGCGCACTCTTATACACTTGGACACTGTCTATTTGGAGGTGGCAGCAGCCTGGGGGCTTGAGGCTAGAGGACTGGCAGATTCAAGCGGGTAGGAAGCTGAATGATTATTGTGCTCTTCTCCATCCACAACAACGCCTCTTTAACTCCAACTTACATAGATAATCAACTGAAAAGAAAGCAGCACCTCAGGCGTTCACACCTAAATGAAAAATTTGTTAAAGTCTGGAAAAAGGTGTTCACTTAACCTTTCTTAGATAAATAAAGGGTATCCACGATCCCCTTCCCACTTACTGGAGCAGTGTCTGAACTCAAACCGGACGTGCGATCCCCGAAACATGTCGACCGGGATGGGCAGTTTGATCTGCTCCGCCCAGCGGGGGCTGTTGTTGTGGTACAGCACTAGGGAGTGGTAGTCATCCCCACCTGGTTCACCGGAACCAGCAGCCACATGACTCTGAAAGACAGAGAGAGGAGAATGAATAAAGAAACAAGATGAAAGGAGAGGAGTGAACAGGAAGCAAAGAAAGGAAATGAGAGGCCGGTCTCAATGACGAGAGGGAGATTTGAAGGACGCAATGAATTAATGAGTCAGACATGAAAATATAGGACTGAATTTAAAACCAGCCCTACACGCCACAAATGACAAAAAATACTGAGTGTGACATGGTTTACATGTGTGTGTTTACTCTATGTGTGTCAGAGGGTTGCGTGCCATGCGGCGGCAGTGGCAGCAGGGTTATATTTGAGTCTATTTTCTGTTCAAGGCCGAGGCAGCGCAGGAAACCACATAGGCAGACTGTCACAGCGCTGCACCAGAAATGGGCAACACACTGGAGAGACACTTAGCTCTCATCTGGGTCAGCGATATTTAAATGAAGAGTTTTGCTCCAAAATAAGACACCTACTATTAAGAAAAATCGGAGGTAACTAAGGACTTAAATAGGGCATCTAGCGTCCATAAACAAAGGTTTAAGTACTTAAAAATGATGTATCTTTCCAATGACAGTTGTGGCTTTTGCAAAATGAAGCCATAACAACAGTGACACAGATCCTAGATAAGAAAAAAACCTTACCTTGAGGATTTGTCCATCGATATCCAGCACATATACGGTGATCTCTACGTTCCTGGCTACGCTCTTCCCACCCTTCTCAAACTCGCCTTTCTCCAGCGTGATGTAAAGGTCATTCCTCATCTCTCCTGCAGGAACAGAAAGGTAAAAGAGGCAACAAGGCATTGATTATGCATACAAGCAAGCATTATTAATGACCTCTCAGCAGCTTGACGACAACTTTTAGAGTAATGCCTTATGACAGGGATGGACAGCGTTTACATTAGCAGCATTTAATGATGTATTTTCTGCTGAAATCTAAGCCTGAGCTATGACCTTTGACAAACAGAGAATAAAAGGTTTTTAAATATCCGCTGTAAGCAGATTGTGTAGCCCGTATCCATTTTCTAATATGTATATCATTTGTCAAGTCAAAAATGTAATTTCAATAAACAAAGAAAAAGGCATAGACATTTGCACATGTCCTTTCAAACTATCAGTGTGGTTGGCTTTACCCTATCAGTGAACTGACAGTGACATGATAAAACAGGCCACAGAGGAAAGAAGACACTGAATGTACAACACACATTGCTTAAGAAAAGAGCCACAAACCACTCATTACTGGTTGCATACAGTATGTGTACTGGCTGTGACCAGCTCAGACAAAGACTATGTGTTCTCTGAAGCCTGAAAAGGTGAAGGTTATGCAATGATTAATTCACCTAAATAACTGTTTTTGTGGCCCCTTATGTTTGTTTTGCAACCCCTGTGGGGGTCCCAACCCCCAGGTTGGGAACCTCTGATTTAGGGTGCATAAGAAATGATTCACAAAACCACAGAATGTAAAATTTCTGTTCAAGACATTACAGAGCGAAGACCACACCACTGGACACAGACTGGCAGGTGTTTCCTGTCCAAGACATGATGATGTAAAATAAAATAACAAGAGCCCATACAACAAAGCATAACACACACAGGGATACCCTTACATGCAAAACACCTGAGCAGGGACTAAATGCTATTTTGATGCTATTCCAACTAAGATTTTAGTTAGTACCACTGACTGCTATCCATTCCTACATACTGTAGCTGTCTTTCTGTTTTCATTGCTACACACACACACATACACACTTATACTGTATGAGAACAGTATAAGAACATAAGAACATACGGTAAATATGATGAGGTAAAACTTAAGATCCTAAGAAGAACCTAAAAAGGAATAAAATACAATCCCTTGCTGCATATATATGTTACAATAATGTGGTAAATTTAGATTTAGATTCATTGGGATTCATAAAAACAAAAATTTGACCTATAAACACCCCTGTAACACAGTCTTTTCTTGAGGCTGGTGGCGCAATCTGCCAAAACACTAAGTGAAAATAATCCCAGGAAGTAATATTCTACATCTTTTTGTTATAATGCAGCTGAATGTACAATGACTGGGCACACATTTATTTCCTTCCTTCTGAGAGAGGACAGGCCTGTTTCCTCTGCAGCCAAGCTGCGGTCACACATTGTAAAATAGGTTCCCTATACAACCTCTGTAAGTGTGTGAGTGTGTGTGTGTGTTCCTG